GTCATGTTATTTTGAGCTCATACGGTACACTATAATAAGGATGTGGGCCCATAGATGTTTGACATGCATCATTGCATCATCATATTTACTGAACTATGTGATTCACATTTTGTATTTTGTATTGTAGATGCCACCTCGAGAAACTAAAATTATTAGAACCACTAGACATGCTGAAATTACTGAGAACTTCAAGAAGGGATTAAAACTTTTGAAGACAGTGAAGATTTCGTGACGCTAATGATTGACATTTATGATCCGATTACTTGTTGTCATGTAAATACTATGATGTACGTGGAATAGACAGCAAGGTGACATTATGTAAAATAGGAAAATGGTTCCCAGTAAAAGATGGTAGTTAAAATGAAAAGATTTTGGCAGACTTGATGTACCGCCATAATAGGCTGCTGTAGAATAGATCTGGAGGAAACTTTTTGAAAAAAAAAATCTATAGGTATTTCTTTTGACCAAAATTTTTGGATAGTCATATGACTGACTTGTTATGAGATGTATTTTGTGACACAAATTCTCTTTTGGTATAATATAAACTTGGCGGTTCTTTTAACTCTTTATATTATTAATTTGATTTCCTTGATATGTTATGATTTTACTGTGAGATGCTTACTTGAGTTAAATGCTAGCATGATTTTAATCTAAGGATAAAAATAATTAATTAAATTAAGGGTAGAGCATCACATGACATTTTCACCCTTATTTCATATTTCATTGTAAAAATCGTTATTTTCATTCATTTTCTCAATTAAAAGTTGTAAAATGACAAATATACACTCCTCTTTAAATAAACGAAAATAAAGAACAAATTGCAACTATATTCTTGAAAGTTTCAAAAAAAGTACAAATAAATTTCAAAAAGATAATTAAAAAACTTTCTGTTTTAATTATTTATTTAAATTTTATTTGTACTTTTTTTAAAAAGAAAAATTGGGAGTATAGTTGCAATTTGATCTTTATTTTTGTTTATTTAAAGAGGAGGAATCATTCTACAGCTTTTAATTGAGAAAATAGATGAAAGTAATGATTTTTGCAATGAAATATAAAAATAAGGGTAAAAATATCAAAAAAATGAAATGTAGGGACTTTTTGCATAATAAAAATGAAAGGTAGGAACATTTTGTACTAATTACCTTTTTAATAATTTATTTGCACTCATTTGCACTTTTTAAAAAAGTTTGGAATATGATTACAATTTATTCTTTAACTTTTATTTTATTTTTTATTGTTTTATTTAGATATGGGGTATATTTGTCATTTTACATGAATATTTTGATGAAAAAGGACGATTTTCGCAATAAAAGGTAAAAATAAGTGTGAAAATGTCAAAAAATGAAAGGAATAAACGTTTTGCACAATAACATTAAATGGTAACAACGATTTGTGCTAATTACCCAAAATGACATATATACCCTTTTATTCAAATAAAACAAAAAGAAAATAAAAATAAAAATTAAGTAAAAAATTACAATCATGCTCTCAAACTTTTTTAAAAAGTGCGAATAAGTCCAAATAAATTATTGAAAGGGAAATTAGCTCAAAAAGTCCCACCTTTCATTTTTTTTTTTTTAACATTTTCACCAAATGTGAAAATAATTGTTTCATCCATCTTCTCAAATAAAAGTTGTAAAATGATAAATATATCCTCATTTTTAAATAAAAATTAAAAAATAAATAATAAATTGCAACTATATTCTCAAACTTTTCAAAAAAAAAAAAAGTACGAATAAATTTCAAATAAATAATTAAAAAAGAAAATAATTTTTGTTTTTAATTATTTATTTGAATTTTATTTGTACTTTTTTTTAAAAATTTTGGGAGTATAGTTACAATTTTTTATTTATTTTTGTTTTATTTAAAAATGAGGGTATATTTGTTAGTTTATAGCCTTTAATTGAGAAATGAACGAAATAATGATTTTTGAAATAAAATGTGAAAATAAGGATGAAAATGTTAAAAAAATGAAAGGTAGGGACGTTTTGCATGATAATGTTGAAAGGTAGAGACATTTTGTGCTAATTACCCTTTTAATAATTTATTTGGATTTATTCGCACCTTTTTAAAAAAATTTAGAGCATGATTGCAGTTTTTTTAATTTTTTTTTAATTTTTGTTTTTGTTTTATTTGAATAAGATGGTATATTTGTCGTTTTACATGACAAATTGGATGATTTTAGCAATGAAATGTGAAGGTATGGGTGAAAATGTCAAAAAATGAAAATATTGAGACATTTTAAATAATAACATTGTAAGGTCGGGACATTTTGTACTAATTACTTTGAAAGAAAACATCAAAGTAAGATTGTAAATCGTCGAGGATCACTTTAATATGGCTTTCGGGATTTTGTGATGTCAATAACAACCCGAACTAAAAATGGCATGTGATTTCTCTTTCTTGCCTTTAAAAATTTTAAACTTTGGACCAAATGCCTTAAAAGTCCAACTAAAATACATCATCGCATTAAAATTGGAGAAAATTACGGTCACACGTGATTTTCAATTTTCAATTTTCAATTTCCGGTTTAATGGCCAAGATCACTATTCTACTTTTGTGCCTGTCTACTAATTTTATCTCCTAATTTTTGTTATTTTTAAACTTGAATTTAAACCCTCTTGACATACTCTGTTGAGACCTCTTTTCCCCGAAAACTCATTTTCTCCAACATTTCTGCGGGAGCAATTTGATTGAATAGATTGATTCTTGTAAGGTGAGATAATGAATGTATTAACTTTCAACAAATCTATTAGGTAACTTTTATTAATCCGATTCTAATCATACCCACTTTAATATTTACCAACCAAAAGTTATGACATTTTTCCCATATAAAAATGTGAATTAATCTTTAAGTTCTTTTTGTCTTCAATAAAACGAGTATTACGTGATCAATAAATAATATATGACTTAAAAATGTGCGATTTAAAACTAAATTTATAATTGTGACCTATAATTTGTATCTTGTGATCGATAAATGAATTGTGACTAGTTAATCTGAAAATTTGTGATCGATAAATTAGTTTTGACCAATTACTTGATGATTTGTAATCGACAAATGAGTCGTGACCAAAAAATCGTGTAATTTGGGTAACTATGACAAAAAATAATAATAATAATTTTTGAACAATAAATAATATGTGATTTAAAAAAGTGCGATATGTGACTAAAATTTATAATTGTGACATATAATTTGTGTCTTTGTGATCTATAAATAAGTCATTACCAATAAAAACGTGTAATTTGCATAACTATGACAAAAAATGAATATTTTTCAAACAATAAATAATATGTGACGTAAAAAGTGCAATCTGTGACTAAATTTATAATTGTGACATACAATCTATATCTTTGTGATCTATATATAACTTGTGACAAATTAATTTGATAATTGGTGACTAATAAATCAGTTTGACCAATAAAAATGTATAATTTGGATAATTGTAACCAATAAAATGAGTAATGAGTATTTTGTGATCAATAAATAATATGAGACCTAAAAATGTGTGATCAGTGATTGAAATTTATAAATATGACTTACAATTTGTCTTTGTGATCTATAAATAAATTGTGACTAATTAATTCGTTGTGATCGATAAATAAGTTGTGATCAATTAATTCGATAATTTGTGATCAATAAAATGTGTAATTTGGATAATTATGACAAATGAAACGATTATTTTGTACCAATAAATAATATATGACCTAAAAATATGTGATCTATGATTAAAATTTATCACTGTAACCTATAATTTGTGTCTTTGTAATTGATAAATAAATTGTTACAAATTAATTTGATAATATGTGATCGATAAATAAGTTGTGATCAATTAATTTGATAATTTGTAACCGATTAATTTGATAATTTGTAATTGTGACCTACAGTTGTATTTTTGTAAGTACGTCACTGTAACCTTGGTTAATTTACGATTGTATGTGAGTGTGAAATTGTGTGTTATAGTGAACAATTTAATTAAATTCTAGATCACAAAATTTCATCGAGACTAAAAAAAAAAATGTGACCAACTAATTTTGAAAAATAAATAAATCATGATTTTGGATGGTTACATTTTGTGACCTCTGACAAATCTTTGTGACCTATAATTTAATTAAATTGATTATAGTCACAATAACACATAATTTATAATCACAATTACATACTAATTGCAAACCACATTGCTATTTGTACCTTGCCCTTTCCCCTTTGGCTTACACTGTGACGTGGAACGGGAATATTTTTTGATTTTTAAAAAAAGAACAAACCTTGGGCCAGGTTTTACAATTCAATAATTCAATACACTCAAGAGAAGAGACCGCGTAAAAACACTCAGTATATTGCCCGCCATTTCTTTGGCCCCAAATATTGAAACCAACCGCCATACGAGAAGCTGTTGTTTCCTACTTAAAGGTTTCACCAGTGTAAGAAAGTGTTGTTCGGACTTGAAGCTGTCGTCGTCTTCATAGTTTGGCGGTGTTAAAAAGAGTTGCTCTAGCTTACAACATCGCCGTCTTCATTGATTCGTTGAAGATGATGGATAAAGGTAGAAAAGGTTTGTTTGGAATGTGAAAATGTCGAAATCAATGGTTGCGGTTGAAAAGGTTTGGTTGACATGTGAACAAGCCTAAATTGATGCTATGTTGTAACCTAAATCTATACTAAGGAAAGGGAAATCTGTTTACCCATTTTTCACTCACTTGTTTCGTGTGTGAATATGATTTTCTAAGCATTACACTAAAATATAATGAAACATGGCAAGTGGGTTCAACATTCAAATTTAAAAAATCTTGTATTCTGACTTTTTTTATGTTCTTTTAATTACTTTTGTATCTGTTATTGAGTTACTTATAATATTTTGGGACTAGTTCATTTTTCAGAGTTTTCTTATTTGCAACTTTAACGTCTAACATGAATTTCATGTTTTTGTCACTAAATTTGGGAAAACCTTAAATGTTCTGAGACCTCACATTTATTGTCTATTCTTTTGATCATGTTCACAAATATGGGGCAAGAGGGAATTAAAAAAAAAAGTTGAAAAATTGGATGTCTCCGAAATTTCAAAGAGCAGAAGAATGTTGATTTCGATTCAATATTTGTTTAGTGAATTAATTGTAACCTTGTAATTGGTGTCTTTTTTTTTTCTTGCAAGCAACGAAAATTTGAAAGAGGTTGATGATGTCATTCTATTAGAAGAAGAAAATGACAACAATTTGGATAGTGCAAACTTCATGGATAATGAAATTGTAGGAGTAGGCAATGTGATTGTGCCCGAGGTGGGTATAAAGTTCAGTGATGAAACGAAAATGTTTAATTTCTACAAGAAATATGCGTACGACGTAAGATTTCCAGTTAGGAAAAGAAATTCACAAAGGGATGATAAAGGAAATATCAAATATGTGATATTTACATGCAGTCGTGAAGGTCGAAGAAGTAGTACTACAAGTGGTATGATAAAGGAAATATCAAATATGTGATATTTACATGCAGTCGTGAAGGTCGAAGAAGTAGTACTACAAGTGGTTCTTTAAAGCTGCAAGCTACCATTCAGATAGGCTACAAAGCTAGGATGACTGCGTCTATAGATGCATGTGGAGTATGGAGGATTAACACAGTCAATCTCGTTTACAACCATAAAACAAGTCTTTCAAAATCCAGGTTATATCGTTGCAATCAAGAATTGAGTGCCCATATTAAACGATGGCTTGAAGTGAATGATATGGCAGGGATTCTGTTGCCCAAAAGTTACAACTCCGAGGTCGTAGAAGTAGGGGGTATGAGAATATGACTTGCATAGAAAAAGATTGTCGAAGCTATGTTGAACAAGTGAGGCGGTTAGGACTTGGAGCAGGAGACGTCGCAGCAATACAAGTCTATTTTTCAAACATGCAAGCAGGGTGCCCAAGTTTTTTCTTTAGTATAAACTTAGAGACGAAGAATTACAGTTGAAGAATATTTTCTGGGCAGATAATAGGAGTAGGCAAGCATATAAGGAGTTCGGTGATATGGTCACATTTGACCCCACGTACCTAACTAATAAGTACAGTATGCCGTTTGCTCTTTTTGTTGGAGTTAATCATCATGGACAATCAACACTCCTTGGTCGTGGGTTGGTGTCGAATGAAAATACAATAAAATTTGTGTCCCTTTTCAAGACTTGGCTTAAGTGTATCCATGGCCAAGCTCCTATTGGGATTATTATTGATGAAGACAGAGCCATGCAGAATGCAATTCAGATTGTGTTCCAAACACGAAACACAGGTGGTGTTTATGGCACATATTGAAGAAGTTGCCTAAGAAATTTGGTTACCATGTCGATGGGGATGAGATCTTTTCTACTATACACGTATTGGTATATGATTCTCAAACTGTAGACGCATTTGAAGAAGGTTGGAGAGCTATGTTAGACAGATATTCTTTGCATGATAATGAGTGGTTGTCAGGAATGTGCAAGAATAGAGGCCGTTGGGTACCTTGCTTTTTAAAAAGTAGCTTTTGGACAGGAATGTCAACTATACAGTGCAGCGAAAACATGAATGCATTCTTTGATGGTTATGTGCACTCGAAGACATCGCTGAAACAATTTTTAGAACAATATGAGAGAGCATTGAGGAGTAAGGTAGAGAAGGAGTTTCAAGCATAATTTAAATCATACGCACAAATGGTACCATCTGCAATGAAGTACGAGTTGGAGAAACAATTTCAACAAGTGTACACCATTTCAAAATTTTGGAAAGTTCAGGATGAATTCATTGGGAAAGTTTATTGCGATCTCATATCTTTGTCAGAAGGCTTTTCGGGGACAACCTATGAGGTATTGGAGGATGTTATACTTGAGAATCGAGTTAAGAAACAAAAGTTTTCTATGACATTTGAAAGATAAAAATGTAACATTATTTGTAGTTGCCATTTATTCGAGTTTCGAGGAATAATTTGTAGATACGCGATCCTTGTACTTATCCGTAATAACGTCATGGCATTGCCAGACACATATATTATGGAGATGGAGAAGAGATGTCGGTAGAGCCCACACCAATGTCGCAGTGAACTATGATGGTTTAAATAGCACTCCACTCCAATTGAGATATGACAAGATTTGTCAATCATTTTCTTCACTTACGGATATGGCTATAAATGACGATCATCAAACCCATGAGGTATTGGAGTGGATAGAATCCAAAAAACAATTATTGGAGATGATGAGGTCGAGTTGTGGAAGTAAGGACATGTCCCAACATGCATTTCAGATTGCGTTGGATGGTGGAGCGTCACAACATAGCAACAACTCAGGTATACAAGATCCAAAATGCTTAAAGAGAAAAGGCGCGCCGAAAAAACTTCAAAACAAAAGCCCTTTGGAATCAGTATCCAGTAAAGCAAAGGTACGTTTCCATCTTTTTTTATTACGGTGCGTATGTATATTAATTATTTGTTTCTTATGCAGTCACATCCAACCAAAGGAAGGAGACGGACGGTAGGCCCAAGTAAACTGGGGGAAGTTGAACCGATCGTATAGGCACATGATCAAGTAGTGAATGAACACATGCCAGCACCGATCTCATATTCACAGCTTCTAATGGTTTGTCTAATTCGATTTATCAATGCATTTGATTTCCACATTTTAGTGACATCGTGATATTGTGTAGGGTGATGAAGACAGTCATGTATTTACACAAGGAATGTCTCCAAATTTCTTCCTATTGGCTTCAATAGGTGTTATGTCTCCAAATTTCCAAATTTACACAACAAGGAATGTCTCCAAATTTCCAAATTTATTATTTGACAGTGGGAAATGCTATAGCGTACTATTATCCAAACGCATCTCACCAACATGGCGCAAACATGTGATTTTGGATGAAAAAAATTGATGCAGTCATATTCTCATAGTCATTCAGGAAATGTTTATCCTATTTGCAAAATTTTGTTAACTCAAGATGATGTTTATGGAAATGTATATTAGTTAATGAAGTTACAATGGAAGCATCTTGTACCTCTCATTCCTTCTTTATGTGACAGCAGTAACTTTCCTTTTGATATATGAATTTAGTTTATGAAATTATGCATATATGATTGGAATATTCAGTTAGCATCAATACAGGCACAATGGTGAACTGAAGACAACAACATCCTTGATACATTAACATTATTGAGATTGTCATTATGGTCTAAGAGAAAGAGAGTGAAGTTTTTATATGAATAGGCTTTCTGCTATTCTCCTTTTTATGTAATCAACCTCATAGATTTGTGTCACACTTTCCCTATAAAAACATGCATGGAGCAGTAAGTAGACTTGCTAAATCCATCTGTCTCAGTAGTATTTCATTTTTCCCCTTCTGTTATATATGTAAAAGGATGAATGAAATTCTTGACATTTTTTTTTTGTCATTTAATACATTTTTCCTGGAGAGCAAGGTACAGATTTATTACATGAAAAAGGTAAATTAGTCACCATTTGCCACATGCATACACTCTCTCATAATTACTAATTTCTGTCCCTTCAAAATTGGAGCCTAAGGGGGTAGCAGAATCAAAATGAATTTCATCAAATTTGGGGGTTGGAAACATATAAGTTCTCTGATTATTATTCAATTCGGATGACTTGCATAAAAGTTTATACATTAAATTCCTGTCATACACTAGCGTCAAGAACATAACTTAGTTTCATTCCTCAGACCAACATCCTTGATATAGTTGCTTTCATCATCAGACCAACATGTTACATTCACCAAAATGAACATCGGCATTCTTACAGTTCACCAGCTACACTAGACAGAACACATATTACACATCAAAAGTAGCAGGGAACGACACTTATTGACAACATAACTACTAATCATGCTGGTCCCTTCCCTTTCTTATCCACTTCCGCACTTCCGCTGGCCTTGCATATAGTCATGTTCAATGCAATTTCAATATTTTTTTCTTCGGCTACCCGACAAAAAGATTGGAACAAGTCAGAGAAGTGTTGAACTTCTTCCGTAGCCGCATGATTATTCGAGTTTACAGTAATGCTACTTGATCCAGCACTTGATTCTTCAAGGTCGAGCAATTCCTAATATTTACAGTTAGCAATGCAGCAATTGAACAATTTTCTCCTGTTCTTCGTTTCCCTCTCGACCTCAAAGCACTTCACAAAACCAATTTTACACCGAGGGCATCGTTTTTTTTTCACACAATCAGCAAAGAAGTGACTCTTCTCTCGACAGCTATGACATATTCCAGAGTTCTTTCTTGGCATACTACACACAAACCATGTATTACGCTACAGTAGACTACAACCACCGAGCACTGTAAAATCTTCAAACTATTGAATTATTCGAAAACAGTAAAATCAAGGAAAATGAATAACAAATATATGATGCTTACATAATGTTTGTTGCGATATTTCGCTGGAGGCGATGGATGGCCTTGGAGATGGTCGATTTACATGCGGTGCAGCTTCCGTCTTATGGCTAAAAAGGAAAAAAACCCAACCGCGAGATTAACTAGAGCTGAGAAACCCAAAGATGGAGACGATTGCTAAATTAATCACTGACTTCTTATTCAGGATGGAATCTGGACTTCGAACCAATTTTTCGTCGAAAAGGGTTTTCTCTAATTTGGGGATAACTGTGCAAGAGAAAATGACGAAAGGTTGGCTCTTTAATTGGGCCGATTTTAGTTTTTTTAAATGGTTTAAGTTTTGACCCAGCTTCCTTGAACTTGACACGTCACTGTATCAACTGGCATGTAAACCAGCGAGTACGAATAGTACGATTGAATTGCAAATCAAATATGATTAGAATCATAAAAATACAATTTGTTAGTCATGTGATATTAGCAAATATTCTTCTTTCTGATGGATAATTTTGTTTTTTAACTAATCGTGTAAGTGGAATCTTTGTTTCCTAATCCAAAGAATCAAATATAAAAATCAATAATTTGTCAAATCAAGTGCCAAGGTGATTTGTCTCTACATACCCTCTCTATGTAAATATCCTTCGGTATCAATGTCTTATTTGTCAAATCAAACATCAAAGATAACTTAAAAATTGAAAAATATATATTTATCATGCACTTTTGGGACCTGAGACACTTGAGAAATCTTTTCCATTCTTCGATTTGGATCGAACTAATCTATTGACACAAATAGTTCATGGGAGAAAATTAAGTTATTTAGGCCCTGGAGGACTAACAATCGAACTGCTAGTTTTCGGATATGAGATATCCATCGTAGTCACATATATAGTTATGCTTCTCATCCATGCTTGTAATTAATCTTTAAACATCGTGGAAATCTAGTTTAATCCAATGAACATAGTGATTATCCAAGTAGTTGTAATGGTCTTTTCCGGTCTTACATGGTTACTCATGAAATTCTATCTTTGCACCAGTAGTGGTGGGAATTATCCTTTCTATCGGCAACGATCCCAAAAACCCTTTTTGTGGAACGTTTCATTTGCACTTTCATGTATTCTGAGTGTACCTGCAATTACATCGTATAACCCTATTTCCGATTCTGATGTATCTTACTTTGTTCATCTTCCCTCTCAAAGAAGATGAAGCCCATGTATGTCCTGTGTTATTGATAATTGTTCTAATAACATTACTATCATTAATGAATGATATATATTGCAAATGCTCTTTTTCTCTTATCTTGCTCCATTTTTCACAATTGATTTTTCACAAGAATGATCTGTGGAACGTTTCATTTGCACTTTCATGTATTCTGAGTGTACCTGCAATTACATCGTATAACCCTATTTCCGATTCTGATGTATCTTACTTTGTTCATCTTCCCTCTCAAAGAAGATGAAGCCCATGTATGTCCTGTGTTATTGATAATTGTTCTAATAACATTACTATCATTAATGAATGATATATATTGCAAATGCTCTTTTTCTCTTATCTTGCTCCATTTTTCACAATTGATTTTTCACAAGAATGATCTCTCTCTCTCTTCTCTCTCTCTCTCTCTCTCTCATTACACCCTATAATATAGTTAAAAACTAGTAATTTTAGTGTTAATTGTTTTAGGCTGTCGTCTTTTGCCTCTACCATCCACGTGGTTGGTTTTCATCCCTTGGATCGTGACCTTTGACTTGACCAGATATTTAACTTGGTTTTGGCCGATTTCCATTCTGGATGCTTCGAGACTGCTTTCTTCGTCTCTTCCCTTTCTCTGAGTGATAGTTAGGGTTATTCTTTTCTGTAAGATCTGTAATCAATTCTTTGTGGTTTCTTAAATCTTGTATTGTAATTGAGTGTTTAATACAGTCATTTTGAGATTGAGGGTTGTGTGATTACGGGCTGAAAAGATGATAGAAAGAACTTGAAGAAACTCTTGGTTTCTTCATACATTCTATAAGGATTTATTAGTTTTCTTAGTGGATCTAGAGCTAATTTTCCTCAATGGGTGATTAGGTCGAAAGACTGAACATCCAAGCCCTTTCATAGTGCGAAACATATTGCATGTCATAGTTTTTTTAATTTTCTGCAATTTGTGTGTTTTAAATCTTTCAATCCACAAGATAAATCGAATCTGGGCCTAACAAGTGGTATTAGAGCGATTTATTGTATGGAAAATTCTTCCAGTTAGCTCTATTGTGTGGATCTTGTAAAGATCTATTGTGGTTTTGTGAGATAAAAGTGTTTTCTCAAAACTTACTATAACTCGGTTTTAACTCTGCTTGATCTGCTGTTTTTACCGAGTCTTTAACGATTCAAGATAATGACCTGTTTGTGTTTTACTGGTTCTTTGACTTGTGCTGTGTTTTGAAGAGTTGAGTTGACTCGTATGGATCCTTGCTGAGTTCTTTACTCACTGCTGAGTTTGTACAGTCTTGGTAACTTGTTGATTTCTTGAACCTGAACTGCAAATCTTGGTCTGATTCTAGTATTCTCTTATTGCTCCCTATATTCTAAAACATTTAAGTTTCAGATTTCTAGTATTTTCTAAAGCCCCTCCCTTAATTTCTTAGTTTCTCTGTTATATTTCGAATCGGTTATTAAGGTAAGTAATCCTCCATTACTTTCCTTTGTCCAAGATCTCCTACGATGATCTGGGAATCTGAGGGAGTACTAGAACCAAAGGTTACCATCCCTTAAACCTTTTAAAATCAACTATATATTGTTTTGAATTACAACATATATTTATTTGGTAAATTGTATAACAAGTAGGCCTAATTAGGGCTGGACAAAACTCCCGAATCGAACAGAGCGGTTGTTCTTAAGTTAAATGTCCGAACGGGTATATGAATCCAAAATCGAAAGGTTCAGTTCGATTCTTGATTCTAGATTAAGACCTGAAGAACCGAATAAGTACCGAATCTCCTTATTTTTTTTAATTAATTTATTTTAAATAAGCAAAATTATTTTATTTTTTCTAAATAAATTTGTTAACTAGTTAATTTAATTCAAATTAAAAAATATGATTTTCCTATTTCTATTTTGAGTTCAAAACCAACTTAATCAAATTGACCTAAATTTTACCCAAATCTATTACTCTACCGTAGTGTCATTTTTGCTGTTATGGAGAAATCGAATTAAAACTCGACATGCCTCTCTTAATTATTTTGAACTCGCCATCTTTTTCTTTCTATGATTTTAACAATCAAATCTATGAAAAATTTAGCAAAGAGAGACGCAAAAGACATATAAGATTGGCCTACGTTATTTTGTAAGAGCTAAGATTGAACATATCATTAGTTGAATTAATGTAACTTTGTAAATATTAAAAATTTTAATTATAATATGGAACTTGGGAATCGAACCGAACCGAATTGAATGGAACTGAACCCAAACGGTTTTATAATTAAATTTGAACTTGACGGTTTCATTTACTAAATAACCTTTATATCCTGCTTTGCTATCTATTCATATTTCTGTCAATTCATCAAGCTGCGTGAATCATTATGCTTCGTGTGTTATATAATTGCTGCTATGTTCATATATCCATCATCGTGTTTACTATACATAAATTTGAAATTAAGACTTGGAATGGCACTGGGGACTTCAGTTTCTGGCGCTAAAAGAAGAAGGCCTTATTACTACAACAAAGATGTGCTGCAGCCCTGGATGGACAGAAAAAAGTGCCTATAGGAAACAAGAATTAAATGATACTACATGGAGTACAATTTTCTTGCATTTGTCTGATAATGTCATTAGAAAAGTAGGTGAAACTACATCTGCTGAAGCTTTATGGACCAAGTTAGAATCATTGTACCTAACCAAAACCATGCCAAATAAATGTTATCTCTTAATGCAGTTCTATAACTTCATATTTGATCCATCATCTAACTTGGAAAAAAATCTTGACAGATTTACAAAACTGATTCAGGACCTACCAAATTGTGATGAAAAAATTTCAATGATCAACAAGTTGTTGCTCTATTAAATTCTCTAAGCGATAAATACAGAGACATCAGAAATGCATTGGAGTATGGGGGTCAAGAACTTACAATTAATAAAAAAATTGTAGCTTTGAGGAATAAAAAACTAGAGTTAAAGGCTAAGTCAAAAGAGTTTAAGTATGTTGAAGGGTTGTGTATCAAAGAGAAACTGAATCAAAATAAGAAACAACATCAATACAATCTAAATTCTCATAAGAAATGGAAATCATAGAATCCCAAACCCAAAGAAAAAAAATAAGAATCATGTGAAAACTAAAAACCATATCAGAAAATATTATTACTGTAGGAAAACTAGACATATAATAAAAGATTGCTTCAAGAAAATTTCTGATATGAAAAATAAGAACAACTCTGATGGTTCTTCAGCTGTGGCCTACAAAGAAGAACCTGATATTTAGGGTGTGGTTCTTGTGAGTACCACCAGTAGAGACTCAAAAGAGTAGGTCCTTGACTCTGACTGTACCTTTCACATGTGTCTCACAAAAGAGTATTTATTTTTTATTTTTTTTGAATTTGTAGCCTTAAATGGAGAACAAATTTAGATGGGGAATGATATGAGTTATCAAATAAAGGGTATTGGGAAGGTTGAGTAAAAGTTAAATAATAACTATATTCTTGAACTTGAGAATACTAGATATGTACCTGAGCTCAAAAGAAATCTTATTTCCTTAGGAGAGCTAGAGGATTAATATAGCATCATGATCCATAAAGGTCTCCTAAGACTCCAACAAGGAAATAAAAGTGTGATTTCCTCTCCTAAAATAAATGAAATATATATTTTCCTTGCTGAATTTGCAGCAAGTCATTACTTTGCAGCCCTAAACCCTGATTTAAATAAGTCTTTAATTTGGCATAAAAGACTAGACCACATTTCTGAAAAGGGACTGATGATTTTAAAATGTATTGGATGTTTTGGAAATGATAAAATTGAAGGTTTGGACTTTTGTGAAAACTGTATACTTGGAAAACAAAAAGAAGGTAACATTTTCAAAATTGGAATGCACAAATCCACTTCTATCTTGGAATACTTACATGCTGACATGTGGGTAGGGCTTTCAATGGATTGAATTTTGATCTGATTTGATGAAATTAATGGGAGATGAATTTAGGATCTCTAGATGAATTTAGGATCTCTATCTGATAACTCGATCAAAATTCGAATCCGAAAATCTGTTAACTAAATGAATCAAATATGAATATAGGTCAATCCAATCCGATAACAACCCGACTCGATTTATTATTACAATATATTATATTT